ACTAATAACTAATAACTGATAACGATAACAATAATTTTAAACTGATACTTGAAATTTGATAACTGATAAGTACTAGCAGTAAACTAATAACAATAACTGATAACTAATAACCTGATAACTGATAACTACTAAACTAAAAACTGACAATCAACAAACTAATGATCATAACTATAACTGATAACTAATAACTAAATACTAATAGCTTGTATACCGATAATTAATAACAATAACTAAAACCGAAAATTGATAACTGATAACTAATAGACCTAATAACTAATAACAATAAACTAATAAATTCTAACAATAACTATACCAACCAAAACTAATAATCTAACTAATACCTTCAAAACTGATAATTAATAACTTATAATAACCGATACCTAATAACTAATAACTAATAACTAATAAACTAATAACTAATAACAAATAACAATAATAACAAATAACAAAAACAAATAACCGATACCTAATAACAAATAACAACAACAAATAACCGATACCATACCTAACTAACAAATAACAAACAACAAATAACAAACAGCCTAACAGCGAATAACTAATCTATCTACCCTCCCCCCACAGCAACCCAGAACCCGAGTGCCTCTTCGGTGTGTTTGGGTGTCCAGAAGCTTACCAGTACGACAACGACCGCAATCTGTGTGTGGATGGATCGAGACAACCGCGATTTCCCCACTCCGGGTAAGGCGAGAGGGTGGGGGGTGGTGGTGGTGGGTGGTGGGTGGGGAGTGGTGGTGGAGGTGGGTGGGGTGGGGTGGGGGGTGGTGATGGGGTGGAGAGGGTTGGTGTGATGAATGAGGCGGTGGGTGTAATGGCTGGAGATAATGGTGGTGAAGGCGGGGTTGGTGGTAAATGGTGGAGGAATGGTGGTATTGATGTTGGGGATGAATGGTGATGTGGGTGAAGGTGTGAATGGTGGAGATAATGGTGATGATGGTGAGTGTGATTTGGATGAGGGTTGGAAATAATGGTGATTGGAGTGAATGGTGGTGATGGCGGGTGGAGTGTAATGGTGGAGATAATGGTAGTAGTGGGTGTAATGGTAGAGAGGGTGGTGGTGGTGATGGTGGTGGGGATTCTGGTGGAGATGATAGTGGAGATGGTGGAGGTGGTGATGATGGTGATGATGATGAACGTGCTTAGTTGTGGTTAGAATGGGAATGAGCACCAGAATACCCTTAACGATGGTTATGGTAATGACAATGGTTATCAGAATGACCCTTAGAATAAGCATGGTGATGGTTATGATAGTAATAATCTGGTTATGTTTATGATGATACTTATAACTTGAATGAGCAATTGAACAGCATAAATGATGAGTAGGATGATGATAAAGGATATGATAAAACAAACATTAATTTGATGATTATAAGAAAAAAGTTTTTTTCTGCGATAAAGTTAGGGAAGGTAAACCAAATAAATATGGGAATATAAACTTTAGGAGATGCATGGGAGAATGAAATATAATGGTAATAGCTATTAGGAACGTAATAGCTATGCATGGAAAAAAATAGTAGCATGGTAATAATAGTGAATAGTCGTTTGAGGTAAGTTCACAGAAAAAAAACATATATATATATGATTTTTCTTTTTTTTCCATTTTCCTAATTGTTCTTCTCCCTTCCTCCCACTTTTTTTTACCTTCTCTTCTTTCCCCTCTCACGTCCTCCCCTACCCTTCCCAACCTTCCACCCCCATCCCCCAACTCCCTCCTCCCACACCAACCCCCTTCCCAACCCCTCCCTTCTCCAACCCTCCCCTTCCTCCCTCCCCCAAACCCCTCCCTCACCCCCCTCCCCCTTCCTCTCCTTCTCCAACCTCCCCCTCCCTCCCCAAACCCTTCCCTCACCCCTCACCCTTCGTCTCCCTTCTCCAACCTCCCCCTCCTCCCTCACCCCCTTCCTCTCCCTTCCCCCTTCCCCTTGCCCTCCCTTCCTCCCTTCCCCAACCCCTTGCTCTCCCTTCCCCTCCTCCCTTCCTCTCCCTTCCCCTTCCCCAACCTCCCCCTTCCTCTCCCTTCCACCTTCCCCCTCCTCCCTCCCCCCCCCCCCCTCTCTCCTCCCCCCTTCCCCCCCAACCCCCCCCTTCCCCAAACTATCCAGAGAGTTACGGCCCCAAACCCCACTGTAGCGCAGCCAAGTGCGTGTCCCGAAGGATACTCCTACAACACAATTTTCGAGACCTGTGAACCGAACGAAATAGGTCAGTGGTTTAGCATCCTTTTGGGTCGCTTGTGCGCGGGTGTGGAGGAGGGAAGTCAATATATATATATATATATATATATATATATATATATATATATATATATATATATATATAATATATATATATATATGTGTGTTGTGTGTGTGGTGTGTGTGGTGTGTGTGTGTGTATAGTGTGGATCTGTCTGCCAGGCTGTGTCTGTCTATATGTGTGTGTGTGTGTGTGTGTGTGTGTGTGTGTGTGTGTGTGTGTGTGTGTGTGTGTGTGTGTGTGTGTG